TTATCCAGAATATATATATATATATTCATATATATATATATTCTCATCTCACCTAGTCTATTGTTTCTAATCATGCTTGCAACAACATACGACATTTATTTCACATTGACTTATTGCTTTCATTCCAAGATCGTCGGCGATTATTGATATTCACATAACTATTCAATTGAATTCTTCCCGCATCGAGATGGAGAAACGATGTAACATACACGGGAATGAAGTTCCTTGCTCGACAGTAACTACGTGTCTCAAGTTCGATGGGCATTTCGTACCAAACATCGTAGGTAGGTGGTACGGGAGTCTAGAATGCACATGCGTGAAACCTGAACTTCAAACGTAGTGTAAAACTATAGTTAAATACACTTATACAATATTATCCATCAATTTCATGACATTGCGGTTTGAACTTCATAAGTGCAATCGTGATGGTTTGGTTCGAAGACTATCGAATAATATGATTTGATGCCCTGATCACGCAATCATAGCCTGCTATATTTAATTTATGATCCAACAAAATACATGAATATATCACTATGTATGTCTGATTGATGTCATCGAAGCTTCGAGCCCAAACCCCATTTCTCTATAATATTTCCATTGTTGCTAAGTCTGTTCAGATGAATATCATTATTATTATTGCCAGCCCTTACCCTGCGATATAACTGGTTGAATACTAACCCATAACTATCCTAAAGATAACCAGCAAAGTAGTTATATTAGGTATATTAGTACCATTGTTACTCTCGTGTTCAGGAGATTCATATTAACGTCCACAATGCCGTTGAAAGTTCATAAGACAATAATATTAATATATAATGTTAAGTAACAATAATAATAACTTCATTTGGTTTTGTAAATATATTATATTTATTATTTCTATAAACTTGAAAATAATCTTTAAATATAACTGATACAATAATATCTAATAGGCCTAAATATAATATTAACCTTTAGATTTTTGTTTTTAAAACCCTATTTTCTTTTTCAGTTCTAAACTACACGCTAACAGCTTATACACCATCGCCGAAGTCAGACGAAGCAAAGAAAGAAGTAAACTTTTTCCTCACCACTAGTCATATGACCAGCTTTGTTTCAGGAGCCCTGACTCTAGTTCATAGCGAGCAGCAATGTTTTGACGCTAGTGTTTTGTTGACGGTAATGTAACCAAATGTACACATATCTATAACATGATTTTGATATGGAGACATAAGCCTATAAACTAGTCAAATCGCCTTTACGTACGATAACTAATAAATTGAGATAAATTCATCCATAATTAATAACGTGTTTTCTTTAAGCAATATAAATACACATTGTAATCAATATGGTCTAACGACTTAATCTATGTGATTTTTTGACGCCAAGCCTTTTTTAAAATTTTATTAGAAGAGTTTAACGGATTACACAGTTCCTTCGACGTTCAATCTTGCGTATAACATGATAGATGATACATTCACGAATGGCGAGAGCGTCTCGTCAAAGAGGAGACTCCGTCCGATTCTCAACCCATACACGGGTAATCAATTTTCAACAGAGGTTAGTAAAGCTTTTTTTTGTTCTGCAATTATTTTGTTAAAGATTAACTATTTTCTCTGTGTTTTATTACATTGTTACTACTAATGAAAAAGATGATGACGATGTAAGATGACAAATCAATTCGACGACGATGGTGATGACGGTGACAGTGACGGTGAAGATGAAAATTATAATCGATAATGATAGGCCTATGATAATTATAATAATACTAATGATGAAGATGATGATGGTGGTGGTGATGCTGAATGTAATTGTGATGGTGATGATGTTTGTAATGGTGATGATGAAAATTATAATAATAAAGGCATTGATTGACCATAGCAGTGAAGAACATTGAGAGAAGAGAAAATTGTGCTATAATGAACGTTCATGTAATAACAAATTACAATTGCTGAAGTTCTAAAAGTACTTTTGATTTCAAATGATGTAAATCAAATAGTGTGCTCTCGTCTGTTCTTTCATAGGTGCTCCTTTTACGTAACTGCAAATTCAACCATGATTGTAGAAGCAACCTTAGTGTGAATGCGGCTTATCAGATGAGGCGGTAAATACGGAATAAGGTTTTTTTTTTCTAATTTATTTTATCATCAAATGCGTTATTCAGTCAAAAGATAGAGCTGTTTTTATTTTTATTATTATTTTATCATGTATTCACAGAGGGCTTCCCTATCTTGAGTTTGGCGTGGAGACTACGTTCACTATCGACATTTCCGTCCGGAATCTTGGTGACATTATTTACAGCGTTGGAGTAATCCTACAATTTCCCAGACATATAGAGTACTTGAGTTTCAATCCTCTATCGGTTAGTAAAACTAAAGAAATCATATTGTTCTTAGTAACAAAGACACAGATTAAATAATATAGTACAGTATATTAAATTATGCATTTATTCAACCTTTGTTCAGCTATAAACTTATACAATAACAGTTCAATAAAACTAGAGCTTATGAATATACAAGATATACATTGTATAATAACCAAATGTGCCAGAACTGATAATCAAGGGCTAAATGTTTTAGGACAACATATAACCTATAAAATACAACATTTTTAGTTATTATTGGTATCAGTATATTACTTATATTATTTTCATTATCATTCAGGTTTCTGTAATTCAATTTTGATATTGAAGTTTTAATAATATAGATAGATGTTATAATTATATATTCAGGCCTGAATAACCAATTTCTAGCATATAGTTATAGAGCATCTGTTCGGTTATAAATAAAACAAAATCACTAAAATATACATGTCTGTTTGTGGTTTCTGGATTTCCTTGTGGCTCATTCTATTGTCTGATTTGGTCTACTGTGTCTTTCAGCATGAAGCAATAAACTGTGAGTTGCAAGCTGAAGACCTCACAATCGATACATCTATTCTTGAATGTTCCATAGAGAAGGTGTTCCTACGGCAAGATGAGGTAAGACCGACAACCATTTTCTTGGGAGACACATCCATTTTGGGAGGCCCGGGGGGGGGGAATAATGAATTATCGATACTCGATTGATTATTTGTATTTGTTGCTCTTAATCCTAAATTAGTTAACAATTCGCATTATCAATATTGGTTATAGAATTGAACCGGCAAGATACAAGTATCGTTATATATTTGTTATTAGGCGTTTATAACAGATACATTTAATCATGAACAGATGATCCCGAAGAACCAAATAAGGAAAGTTTGATTGTGCACGATCCAGTGATATGAAGGGCTCCCACATAAAGTTTGCGCCCCCCACCCCCCATCCTCCCGGCAATGGCCTCCATTGAAAATGTCCGAAGCAAAAACAATCACGCTCAAGTAGTTCAAACATCATCGATCCACCCACTGCACACATCAGCCACCCCCATGTCGAGACTCCATTATGCCACTGGCACGATCCACTTCAAGTAGGCTACCTTATAATAGCAGAATGATAAAACACAAACCGTACAAAAACCCACAGTAGGTCTAGTATGCCTAATGTGAGTAACGATGCGGGGATCTATGTGTGGGGGATGCTTTAATCTCTCTGTCGCCGTAGGCTCATAGTGAACGATACAGTAAATTGGTGATGATACGTTTTATTTTCAGTATCGTTTCAAGTTAGATTTCAACATTGAAAACGAACAAAATCAACAATCAGCCTTAGCAGATGATAGCCTCATCTTCCAGCTTCTTACTAAAGTTGAGAATCATACGTCATCATCAGGCGTTTCTCAACTCCAAATACCATTGATAGTTGCTGCTGACATCGGAATAACAGGGTAAGAAAAATGCGTTTACATTTAAAATAATATAGCCTATCATAACGGCTAAGATGTTACTTAATTTTGTTGAAGACAGAAAACAATATACTCATATTAAATAATTAATAATAATAACGATAATTATAATACAAATAGTAATGTGATATTATTTTAAGTGTTTATTGTATATCCTCTGTGCGCTTAATTTATTAATGAGTTATATAGACAAATAAGGATGTAAAAATAAATAATCAATAATAAATAAAAATTGCCTTTTTATAAAAAGAACTTATGCATATGCATTGCTCAATTACAGTTGCAACCTTCTTTGTGTGTGTTTTTTTTTTAGTAATAAACATTAAAAGCATTATCTTTTTTCTTGAAGAATATCGATTCCAGAACAGATTTTCCCCGACAGCATTCACCCGATTGCAAACTTCAACACAACAATTATAGACACAACACACGGTGGTATCGGTTATTTCGAACACACATTCAAACTAATATTTGCCGTGAGTAGCCATATTGATTAACAGTTAATACTTGTTCACCACATATTTATGTTCACCACATATTTATAGTGGTTCTATGAGCGTGAAATTTAATTTAGGATCCCCATTTATTCTTCTATTAATTAAAAACCGTCAAAATCCTACCTATATGCAGGGTACCCTGATACATTTGGGTTAATGAGAGAATATTATACCCAATGTATATACAGATGGCCTAGGCATATAATGCTAATAGACCTTTCGGAAGTGTCAATCAAAATTAACAACCAACCAATCAGAACAGGGCCTGAAACATGCGCATGCCCTCAATTTGTTTATGTATGTTTACATTATTATTTTATGGGACCTTCAGCAACAATATATATAGGGGTGGTGCTTACCTGAATGGTCAAATGTTCTAATATGGTGGGTGGCTATACTAATTAGAAAAATGTGTAAATATAAAAATAACCAATAGGCATATCTTAATTCATATGAACTACGAAGACTACATTATAAAAATCATAAAATCATAATTTTAAGATCATATTATTACTATAATGGTATTTTAATGTTTCATATTGTTTTTTTTTTCTTTCTTTTATTTTCCAACTGGTACGATTTAAGATTCGTAATTTCGGCCCTAGTTACGTTGATTCTAAAGTAAATGTTGATATTCAAATACCACGTGCTGTACATGGAGGGGTCATCACGGTGGATGCTACAACTATTAAGGTACAATCTGAGTAAAATACTACGGTAAACTAACTACATAGGCGGTTGCATCTTGATTGTGTATTTTTCTATAAGTGTGTTAACAAACTACTATGAGCCTTCTTGACTTTCTCTGTTTGGACTCTGTCAAATGTAGGCGATGTCGTAAGGCTGTATCTTCGGCTTTTTCATATTCTTTTTTTTTTTAGAGTTAGAGTTTTAGAGTCTCTTGGTTTGATGAATAAGCTTCCTATCACATTCAATCCAATTTTTCTTTTTGATAGAATTATTATTTTGATTCGTTAGGATTATTTAAAGCTATTAGTTCAAGTTTTGTTTTCAAATTTTTGTTTAGGTTTTTAAAATTGTGTATTGTGTTAGGCTTTTGTTGAAATGTTTATTCCGTGTTATTTGTTTGTATTTCATCGTATATTGTCATTGTTACACGTATTGCATTCTCTTAAATGTGGGCTTCCCGCTGTTGCGTGTGAGTTGATTTACATTGTAATGATTATGATAAGTCGTATAATTATGTTTACTAGATATTAGGTGATGGAACGTGCCAGAAAAAGGAATCTCCTAAACACTCCGATGATACTGGAACTCACTCACATCTTGATAATACACTGGTAATAAGAGATTAAATCTAATCTAATTAATCTAATCTAATCTAATTGTTATAAGAAAAACAAATAGGCCTATCACAATAACCGTTTCCTTAATGGGAATACAATCAACTAAACATGATGTATCGCCTGCATAGGCCTATTTAATATTTGTAAATATTCATACACGTTTTCCTTAATAATAAACATGATCTATCCTTTTATCCCTATAGTTGCTATCTGAATTCCGCCTGTTTTTCTCTTGTTTTTAAGATTATTTTTATATTAGGATATATTATTATGAATTAGAATCAAATACAATGATTATATGTTTTAAAGAATGGTAAAAATATAAAACATACACCATTCCTTTCATGGACTGCATATTAATACCGATATAGGCCTATGTTTAAATATAGGCTCTATATATATTCCAATTAATTCCTTTCACTCTGTATTTTCTATATATTGAAAGGCAGACTGTAAAGATATTTTAATAGTATCATTTAACATTACAGAACTGCTCCAATACTAAATGCCAGATAGTCAGTTGTACTCTACCCGACCTGCCAGTTGATAAGAGTTCGATCATTGAAGTCTCCGTGGTCATCAGCCAGAATGGGGTAACGTTTACTAATTTATTGTTTGGTATTTAAAGCCTTCTTCTTTTTCTTCTATGTAAACATAGCACTAATGTTATATCAACTACCGTTTTTAATAATAACCCATTACTGTATTAGTAACCCCCTTCTTATAGTAACCCACCCTAGAAATTAAATCTATAACCCACTGCTCTAATGATAACCCATGTGATTACTATTAGAGCCACCAAAACTATAGACAAAATGACATTAAAATCAATATTTTTGTCGCTTTTTCTTTACTATGTGATTGCGCCGTTGACAATCCTTTCTTTAATTTACTAATTGATGTTTTTGAGTTTCTAAATAAAATAAATCAACAAAGTTTCTTTTCACTCGTACTGTAGTTCTTATTTCTATGAATTAATGACGCGAAAAGCCGCAGGGGTTAGTGGAGTTTACTATTTTCAAGTGCCTTCAATATGCTTGTATAATCGTAACCCACTACTCAGTAACTCAGTAATAGTAACTCGTACTTTAATAGTAACACACCCTAAAGAGCAAACAAATAATAGTAACCAGGGTTAATTTTAGAAACTTTACTATTACATTATATAAAATACCTACATTTTAATGACAACACAACGTAGTAGGCCTATAATGCACGCGTGTTGTATAGAAACGTAAAACCAAAATTCACAAAATGGTCGGTTAACATGAAGCTAAAAATATTATAGTGTCATGGTTACGTATAATATGATTGTCAATATTTACAACAAAATATCTAAAAAAAATAAAATTTATTTACATATTTATTAATGTTTCTATTTAGTATTTCTGGTGATTTTTAAATTCTTACGTTGTAAATAATGTTCCTATTTTTGATGTTTCAGATGTTGAAAAAGCTAGTGTCACTCGTTTCTATTGCGAATGTTTCCAGGGATGAAGAGCATGCCACGAAGCCAATTATATCAACAAAACATGGACTATTAAAGGTAACGTAAATTTACAATTATCATTTGTAAAATATGTTGAATTAATAATATCAGTGGTGAAAAAATTACTCGCAAATGCGATTCTTTTACTGTACCATGTAATTGGCCCTGATGTAGCTCTCTATGCACGCTTCGTGTAGAAAGCCGAGAGTGCAGTGCACCCTCAAATTCGAGAACCCTTCTAATTCGGGACTACTTTTCCAAAGACCAAAATAACAATGTTCAACCTTTTAACACAAAGCTAGCCCTCTAATTGGAGACCAACCCCGAGACCACGCCAAATTTTCAGGTCCCAAAGGTGGTCTCGTATTGGAGGGAAAACTGTATTTTTAATTAATAATTTTGCGCTGCTGTTATAGGTTGTCACCACACTAGTACCGAGTGATACCGGCAAAGTCAAACGTACAAGTATAAGCGGTGTTAGTGTTGTTGTCAGTGTTTTTGTCGGCCTAGCATTTTTACTTGCCATTATACTGGTTTTGTGGAAGGTAATTACAGTAAATAATATATTTACATTTTGTTTTCTTACACATTCAAAATATGGTGTACCATCAGAGAGAAATGTTTAACTGGAATTAATTTATGATAAGTAACATAAGCCATTAACACCATTGCCTAAGTACATCACTGGTTCGGAACTGTCTTTGAACACTGGTGGTTTAGGCCTATGTTAAATTATTTCCTGTTCATTAAATTTTCAGTGTGGGCTTTGGAAGCGACCAACACACTACGTGATCAACAACCAACTTGGAGAAGTCGAACCTGTCGAGCTATAGTATACGGTGTCGAACCATGAATACAACACCTTCACATAGATAAATTAGGATAAGATCTAGGTTGTAAAAACCATGAAATTTAGTATTGCCAGAGCCGTCGGTATCGCACAGACTTTGGCCGGATCATTTTTCATATTTTTATTAATTTAAAAAATATATGTACCTGTTAGCTATAAATTTTATAAATTAATTAATAATTTTTTCACCACAATATCATTCTAATGTTATTTTTAAATAAACGTTCACCATGTGGGTGTTGTAGTGCACTGTAATCTAGGCATTTTACGCCCGTGTTATAAATTAATCGAACACTTTTTTGACAATCCTTAATTGTAGTAGTTATGATTATTTTTGAAAATGTTTAGCGGTATAATAATAAATTAACAATTGACTATACAGTATAAAATTTGAAGTTGAATCAAGTCGGCCAAACTGTCATCACCACACAAAGGTGTACAGTACTAGTCAAGTTAAACCGGCCCTGATTTCTTGCAATCAAAATTTAAACCCCTGAATTAAAGTACATTAAGTTATTTTGAAGTAAATATGTGCTATTTCCGGGCCCCTAGAGGAGCACTTTTTTCAAAAATTTCCAAATGATGTTTCGAACTCCTCAGATTAGAGAGTACATTTCCGAATATCTACAAAATAAGTCACCCCGCCCATCCCCCTCACCGTCTCTCTTAATTCATTTATAGCGCGATGTTGCTTTTATAATGGTCGGAGCACTTGCAAAATAGATCGTGAAATGGGAGCTGCCTGGGAGGATGAGTAGCTCGATTGTCATCCGTTCAGGCACCTTTTGAACTTTTGGTCTTGTGGGACCTTGGCAACGTTATTCATTTCGTTGCTTGAAAACCGATTAGAAATGTTGCTTTTAGCATGTTTCCATAGAATTGATAATTTTGAGAGCACTATAACAATAGGCCTAATAATAATTAAGTTCTGTTACACCATGTTTATAGCAGATCATGAAAATATAAAATCAATTTCTTTTATGATTTAAAATAATTTCCACAAAATTTTGGAATAGTTCCATCTAGTTTGACTATAATATTGTAAATTGAAATTCATTTTTACTAAACCAGAAAGAAACGTCGCAAGTACGTATATCTTTTTGTGGTTTAGTAAAAACGAATTTCAGTTTACAATTTCCACATATATGTTTTTGCATCACACAACAGCCACACAAATCCATGCAACACAAAGTCAACTGTCTGATAAATTATATTATGTTGAAATGGATATGTGGGCACACACACACAGGGGCGATGCATCATTTTCAGTTGCGCATGCTTATAGGCTATTATACAAGACTGACCCCTAAAAGCTAATTTTTTTAAAATAAATTCGCATTCAAACAATTCATACTTGTATGGATGCAAATAATGTATATACATCCAAATAATGCATGAATATACAAATGAATCTACATTGAACATGACAACAATAGTGCGTTATTATGAAATAATTGTTATACACATTTTCAGTCCACCGTATAAACAGGCACATTAAACAATTCATATTTGGGAGGTTATAACATCAATGACAAGAACACCATATGCAAGGAAATTGCATTCTTAAAATATTTATTCTAAATTGTCGTAGTTTGACATTATGTCGTTCAATCTTTAGTTACATCAAATACGTTTTTGTGCATTTTGAGAGAAATATGGAGAGGTATGTGAAAATGAATATGTATCTAGTCGAAGTTGTATTAGTCATATATGGCCTATACAAATCTAAAGACACAATTATTTGTTGTTCATGTGTAGTTATTTTTTCATACTCAATAATCACTTGGATTTGGACCCCTCATCCTTTGCAACGGGGCTGGCGCTGAACCAATAATTTCTATATGTTTTATTTGTTTGTAGCCTTCACTACAGTCCTTGGTAGCAATTTTCTTTCAGATGCCTGTTTGGTTGTGCACCTGCTTGATAATATACAAATTACGGTGAAAGCAAGCTTGCATGTGAAATACTGTATATCGTAGACACGTCGTCACCAAAAATATCTTTGAAAATATTGAATTTCTGAATAGAGTTTCTTCTAAGGTTAGAAATATACATGTATTGTAGGTAAGTAAAGTGTGGGAATGCCGTACTGTAGTTTTACAAGCCAGTACACCTACATGGTGTTAGTTATTGCGGCGTCCTCTGTTTTGTTGTCGTTCAGGCCTACATTTTTCAGACCACAGTCTGTGCTCTAAAATCTGTTTGTAGAGAGTCCTCTTCGTTTGTTTTGTGGACTATTTACAACATAGTAAATCTTAGAATTGAGCCATACAACATTGACATTAAACCAGAATATATGAGTGACAATGTAGAAAACAGTACATTATAAGAGATATTTGTTGTGTTATGACATACCGTATAGTTTCGGTGGTAGGCACAATGCTTTGCAACCCACACTCAACAATATAAATCTAAGTACTCTTCACCAGCTTTAATAAATTGTATATATAAATTGACAGAATTGTGAATTGGTTGAATTATGCTCATTGCTCTATCGATTTGTATTTTACTGATAAATATATATAGGGCCTATACAAATAAGTAAAATAAAAAAATATATAAATTGTATAACTTACATGACTCGAATTATAGTTTTATTTTACTGATAAATATATATAGGGCCTATACAAATAAATAAAATAAAAAAATATATAAATTGTATAACTTACATGACTCGAATTATAGTTTTCTTTATGATTTTTAGGGTAATAATAATATTGATGATTACCAGTAATTCTGGTCATTTGATGATGTCACTACATCATCAATCAAATGATGTTTCAAACTCCTGTAGAATAGAGAGTACATTTCCGAATTTCTACAAAACAAATCACCCCACCCTTCCCCCTCACCGTCTCTGTTAATTCATTTATAGCAACATAGTAAATCTTAGAATTTAGCCATAAAACTGTGACATTAAACCACATTAAACCGGAATATATGAGTGAAAATGAAAAAAACAGTACATTATAAGAGTTAGGCCTATTTGTTGTGTTATGACATACCATATAGTTTTGGTGGTAGGCACAATGCTTTACAACCCACACTCAACAATGTAAATCTAAGTACTCTTTACTTATTTTAATTAATTTAATAAAGCATAATATTATTTATATAGTGACATAAAAACGATCCATGTCATAAACTGCGCTTTAATATAAATAGGCCTAAAACAATCGCATAAATATACCAATTCATGAAAATAGAATGCAGCATAAAATGATCTTAATTCCATCAATGTTCACAAAATGCTTGTATTGTTCTATCTAAATCATTTCAATTAATTTAATAAAAAGTAATTTAAAAGTGATCCGTGGGTCGTAAAATACGCTTCACTTTAAATACATTAAGACTAATAAAAACTGCATGTACACATTCATGAAATAATGCATCACAAAGTGATCTGAATGCCGTTAATGTTCACAAAATTTTTGCATATTTATACATTATATTTTCTGTCCTAATCATTCGCTGTCTCTTATACACATCTAGATGTGTATAAGAGACAGATATCATTCTAATGTTATTTTTAAATAAACGTTCACCATGAATTCTCAAAGACCCTACTATTTGGTTTCGTTAACGGTAGAGGTACGGCAATGGCCGCGTCGACTGTAAATGACCGTGTAAATTATAGTATAAACCAAGGTTCTCCTTAGGCCTATGTCTACCAATCTCATCCACGACGTAAAGCGCTTGTAATTATTCGTTTGTATTCGCAATTGTCAATAATTCCATTTATTCATATAACATTTACCTTTATGGTAAATTTAGTATTTTCAATGCCCAATAATATTATTGCCTCGTTTTCATTGTGCGGTATAGGCCTACATTATTTCTTTTACGTTTATATCTAACAGTGTTTTATTTACATTGTACTTTAAACATTTACCGTAGGCTATGTGTATGTCCAATATGTAGGAATTTATTTTTACTCGACCTCGATTTATTTACGAATCTTAGAGTCTTAGAATGCCATTTCCGGCCATCTTGGGGTACCATAATTATAAATTTTCTTACCTCAGCCCCCCACTATGGTGGGGCTAAGGTGGTACGAATTCTCCATTTGTGGAAATCCCTCCGCAGCTCTCCCATCCTCATATATATATATACATAATACATAACACTCATGCACATACATAGGCTACACATATACATTTATATAATGTAACGGTACATCATACTCGAATGTGTAAGGTAAAGTCATACATATATGGTACTGTACCTACATAAAATAAGAAATACAGTAAAGTAAAAGAAAATTAAAATAAAAAGAGACATAAAACACAACAACACAACACATAAGTCAACTTAATCTTTAAGAAGATCACACCTTTTTATCCATGCTCTTTTAGCTAAGGATTTGCAACATTTGTCGATCAAGGTTTTAATTTTTTGATGAAATACGTTATTGTCATTGCCGAGAATAAAGAGTAATTTGTTTTCAATATCTAATTGTTGGAATTGTTGGAAAACGTGTAGGAAATCGTTAATAAGTTGCTGTTTAAACTTCTCGATTTCCTCATCTAATATAATTTGTAAGTAATCAATTAATTAATTAATTTAATTTAGAGCAGGGCAACTTAGTAAAAAGTGAGTAATATTTTCTTCTTCGTTTATATTACAGCACTTACAGAGCCCAATAGCATTAGGGTCATTAGACCATTTTGCTACTTTACCATCAAGAGGAAGGGTATTCGATCTTAATTTGAATTTCAATGATGCACCCTCAAAGTCATTTTAAGGAGATATACCTCCAATGTAGGAGCATTCTTTATAGTCATATAGTTTTTAATAGACGATTTGCTTTTCCCTTCTTCAAGCCATTGAGATAATGTGAGATCTCTTAAAGCATTCTTTGTGTTGGAAGCCCATTGCATGTTAATATTATCATTGCCATTACGAATGTCAGAGAATATATTATAACAATCTTATAGGATATTTTCAATGAAAAATGGAATCTTAAAAGCAACATCATGAAGGTTCTCCGACATATTCACAATAGTTTTTAAAAATATTTTTGGCCAACGATTTTCTTCCATCTTTAAAATTCTGTCGATATAATTAATTCTATGTAAATTTTGAATATGAGAGATTTTTGACCATCCAAGATCACCATACAAAGTAACATTAGGAGTATTACGGGGCCCTTAATATTCATTTTGCCATTTGCAATTGCAATCTCTCAATTCTTTCACAGTCACTTTTACTCCCTACCCAAATCGGGCTAGCATAGTTTATTGATGGAAGAGCAAGCGTTCGCCAAACAATGTCCCCATAATACACTCTGTTAAAACTATTTAGATTACCAATGATTGCCTTTATATAACCAATAAGGTTGTTACATTTTTGAATTACATGTTCAATATGTGTGTGATCCTTTA